ATACAAAACCCCAAAACCCCAAAACCCCAAAACCCCGTAAGGAATTGTAACCTTACGATTTTAATTAAGAATAGTGAAATGAATATTTGTTTTTATTTTATACTATGCAGAGTGCTGATTCTACTCTTCAAATAAAAGGGCAAATATATCGATAATTAAGTGGCTCTTAAACGCTTCTCAATTACATGTATATGGTAAATAACTTCCATCCTTATCAATGGTGTCTAGAACTGAATAACTATAAACATCATTTTTGGGAGTATATCTCCTTGATCTGCACTCAGGGATTCTGTCGATTAGGAATCCGAGGGCTCCAAAGCTGCATTCATTGGTAAACTCTTCTACTTTAGCGTGGAATTTGAGAGCGGAAGTTGACCAGTCTAGACCGTAGCAATATTAAGTATAGTCATCAATGCTCCAAAGATAGGCAACTTCGAGGAAATTGTACCTGATGCCAATAAAGTCAAAGTTAAATCTGAAAGAGAATATTCCGAAGAACAGTTCTATAGAATTATGAGTGGAACCCTCAACGTAGAGCTTAGGCTCAAAGAGTGCGTGGTTTCCAGCATTATTAAGGTATGAAACAGGAAACTCGTAACCAATGAAAGCATCAAGTGCAAACTTAAAGCCAATACCGAAGTTAAACAAGGTATAATCTGAGACCCATCCAAATCCCTCAACAAGTGGGGTTTTACCATTTGTATGGATAATCTAGGTTTCTGGGATTGCAGCTAGTGTTGACTGTAGATGCTTATTTCTTGAATTAACATAGGAAAGTGAAATAAGCATAATCATAGTAGAGAACAGTGCCTTCATTTTTGAAATAATATAATTTGAATTATTAGTTTAATTTGATTTTCCGCTTAAAAACCAAATCCAATTTATAACTATTCAAACCTAAGCATTTTAAGTGCTAATATACTTCCACAAGTATTTGTAGCTAGTTTACTAACCTGACAATATATAAAGTATTATTAATGCATTCATACGAATTAACATATATCAAATATTAAATCAAGCGTTGGTGCATGTTTCGGGGACCAATGTTCCCTACCAGAATTTGTTTAGTGGGTTATAAGTATAGAGAGGATAATCAACATAGTAATTCTTCCACTAACAATCTGCAAAAACTCCTGGCAATAAGATTCCGAGTAATCCGAAGGAGCATTCATTAACATCTAAGTTTCCTGTAACAACAACTTTTAAGGTTTCAACAAGGTAGTCAGTGCTATAACACATTTCATTAAATGCAATTGTGTCTAGTTTTTCTCTGAAATTTACAGATGCCTTGCCTCCAATAACATCTGCGAATAGAGTGATTTTGAAAAGGAAGAATCCAATAGTAAGATAGCTTCTGCCCCCAAATAAAGTCTTAGCAGTTTGTTCCCATACTAAGTATTAATTATCGTTATAGAGAGGTAAATTATAACCGATACTGTAGTCCATTGATAGACCAAGATTAAAACCAATATTATTGATCATCACATCTGAGAAAATACCGAAATTTTTAACTTTGGGAGTCTCTTCTACTAGAGCAGGTGAATTTCGCTCACCATTTTAGTTCAAATTTTGTGATTAAGCCTTATTTTCTCCTTTAATTGCTCTTTATAGCTCTGGAAGAATTTTACCAGTCCATTCAGCAGAGACTAAGGCGGTGCAAACAGCACTCAAAAATAACAATTAAGCTCTCATTTTCAATATTTGAATTATTATATTTCAATTCTATTTTGATCTCTCAGATTTCTCCTCATGGGGTTTTGGGGTTTTGGGGTTTTGGGG